TATTTTTTAAATGAAGAATTCATTAAAAACTATATAATAGCATTAGTACAAAAAATTAAATCCATACGTGTAGAAGTTATAGATAGCCATCTATAATCTTTGGAGATATTATTCATCAAACACTTCTTATAGATGTAGTAATAAAAGGTCATAGTAGTTATATAATTTTTAATATAATTAGGACTCTCTTGAATCCAGTCATTTTAGGTTTATCATGGCTAGAAAATTATAATCCTTTGATAGATTAAATTTTTTGTAAACTTGACTTTCCTTAAAACATTATTAAGAGTTTTGTAAAAAGTCATAAGTCTAGTGTAGCCAAACTTGTACTCATAGGCGCAAAAGCTTTCTTGTATGCGATAAAAGAAAGATTACCTTTTATTATTTATGCCACATTTATTTTTAATGATGGAAAGATTTTAAGTAGTATTCCAAGTTAATATCAAGATTTTTAAGATATTTTTGAAAAAAAGAATGCAAATATTCTTCTAAAGCATTGTACATATGATTGCTCAATTGATCTTTAAGAAAAAAATTAGCTACCATTTGATCTAATTTATAGTTTATTACAAAATAATTTGGTTGAATTCAAAAAATACATTGACAAGAACTTGGCAAAGAATTTTATTTGCTATTTGAAATCTCTTGTAGAAGCTCCTATCTTTTTTGTAAAGAAAAAAGATGAATCATTGCAAATGTAAGTATATTATCAAGGACTCAATAAGATTACCATAAAAATTAGGTACCCTTTATCTATGATATCTGGATTTCTTGATTAACTAAATCAAGCTAAGATCTATATAAAAATATATTTACAAAGAATATACAACTTAGTCCATATTAAAGAAGGAGATAAATAGAAGATTGCATTTTGAACAAGGTATGGATACTTTGAATATAATGTCATGTCTTTTAGACTCACGAATGCACTAATTGCTTTTCAACATCTTATGAAGTTCTTTGTAAATTTTAGATGATTTTATTGTTTATTACTTAAAAGATATTTTAATCTAATCTAAGAATATAAAAGAGCATGAAGTTCATATTTATCGTGTGTTACAAAAACTTAAAGATGTGGGATTATATGCCAAGTTGAAAAAGTGTATATTCCACACTACTCAAATTGATTTCTTAGGATATATTATTTCCAACAAAGGATTTATAATGGATCCAAATAAGTTTCAAACTTTATAGATTGAAAGATTTTAAGAACAATAAGAAATATAGAATGTTTTTTGGACTTTGTGCTAGGGACATGAATCTCAAAGAAAGAGAATCCTTGATACACTCTTGTGTCACTGAAGAGAACTAAAAAGTCACTCAAAAGGTAATATAATATTAATTAGAATGGCTATTGCCAAAAACAAGAAGACTACAAAGTCTTGAAACAAGACTAAAGACTAGAACGACGTTGACAAGAGTGAATAAGGCTTCACTCTTGCCTCTTTATATACTTATAATTAGAAGCTACGTGGTGATGTCATATAGAACCTCTAAAACATGTTGACTTTGCTAAGCACATGTCTTAACTTACAAGGTAAGTTATCTATGTATGCACCACATAATTAGTTTGTTCTACAAGCTACTACACGGAGTTAATTTGTTTCCTTAAGCTACCAATACATAGTTAGCTTGTTGGCGAAGTTTCTAATCTACAAATACATCTAAAGTCAAAATAGCATCTATGAAGCTTCTAAGAAGCTTTTCTAAAAGACTTTATGAAATTAATCTATATTTACCTACTTCTACCTAATCATATAAGTAACTATTGACATAAATGTATATGTCTCTAACACTTTGCCAATTACTATTGGATCTTCATCAAGAATTTTTTTCAAGTTGCAGCTCTTCTTATATGTCTTACATGCAAAACCAAACTTGATTGGAGCAAAAAAGCTAAAACATCTTTTAAAGCCTTGAAGTCTGCATTTATTTTTGTACCAATCTTATATAATATCCACTTTAAGGTATTTTTTTATGAAAAAAAATGCATCAAATTTTTCTATAGGTGCTATTTTATGACAAATAGGAAAAGATGACAAGCTCTACTTAGTAGCTATTCATTCCAAGAAATTCTCAGCAACCAAGATTAACTATGAGATCTACAACAAAAAACTTTTTACAATTATGGATTCTTTTAAAAAATAGCATCATTATCTAAAAGATACTTTTAATCTAATCATTATATATACAGATCACAAGAACCTCAATTATTTCATATTAGCAAGTATTTTGAATCATTGCTAGGCTTGTTGGAACATATCTTTATCAAAATTTGAGTTCAATATAAAATATCAGCCAAAAAAATAATAAGGTTTGTTAAATGCTCTTTCTAAACATTCTTATCTTGCACCAAAAGAAAGAGATGTAATTTTCAATCAACAAAGGATAGTTTTATTGAAGCCAAAACAATTTCATCTTCAAGTAATGAAATTAACATTGATTGTTGATTCAACTTTTTTCAAGAAAATTCAATCAAGTATGTCTTTTGATCCTCTTATTCATGATATCAAGAATACTTCTTCTAAGTCTTGTGATACTTCGAAGTTTGACTTCAAAAACAACCTACTTTATTTCGAAGGATGTCTATATATTCTAGAAGGAGAAGCATGTGTACATATTTTTTAAGCACATCATGACTTTTTAGCAATATGACATTTTGGATACAATGAGACTTTAAAGCTAATAACTAGAGATTTTTTATGATTACAAATATAGAACACTATAAAAGATTATTTTATTAAAATAGCATATTTTATATTATGCATAAAATCTATCACAAGTGAAAAAATTGTCAAGCTTTTCTTTGACAATATCTATTGGTATCATAGATTGTTGAAAGATATTATATTAGATAGACAAACTCAATTTGCATCAAGGTTTTGAATTTTTTTTTTTTTTTTTTTTTTTTTAAGATTCTAAAGGTGGACATGAAGCTTTCTTTGGTCTTTCATCATCAAACCGATGGATACACAGAGCATGTAAACTAAGTTTTGGAGCAATACTTAAGGTATATTATTAATTATTAACAAAACAATTGGACAACCTTCTTGCGATTGATAGATTTTGCTTATAATAATGTATTCTTTTATGCAAAAAACACCTTTTTTTGCCAATTATGGTTATCATCTACAACTTGATACTTTTGACTTTTCAAAAGTTGATAATCTTGTGGCAAAAGATTTGGTAAATCATTTGTTAGAGCTACATGTAACAATAAAGGTGCAATTAAAAGAAGCTCAAGAATGACAAAAATTCAATGTGGATGCCTATCAAAAGAAGCAACCACAATTCAATGTAAGTGACAAGGTATAGTTACTTCATTGTAATATCAAAACTAGTCATCCTTGAGATAAGTTGGATTATTATAGGCTTGGACCTTTTTCTATTTGTAAACAAATCAATGCAATTTTTTATCAATTACATCTATTAGAATCAATGAAGATCCATCATATATTCTACATATTTCTTCTTGAATCATACAAGACTGTGAATATATCAAGAATAAGATAAGTCTCACTTCCTCCTATAGAAGTGGACAATAATAAAGAATTTGAAATCAAAGAAGTTCTAGATTCAAGGTAGTATTAAATATTTTTTCTATTGGTGCGGATATGATATTAATGAATATACATAGGAACCAACAAAAAATTTGCCACATATTAGACTTCATCAACATATGATGACTATTCCTTGTGGAACTCGTTCCTAAAAGGGAAGATAATGTCATGGATATATATCTATTGTAATTGTTACCTAAGTAATATGAATATGTAGAAATAGATAAAAGTAGATTAATTTCATAATACCTTCTAGAAAAGCTTTCTAAAAGCTTTTTAGATGTTGTTTTGACTTTACATGTGTTTGTAGTTAATTGATAGGTTAGAAACTTGGTTAACAAGTTAACCACATGCCATATATATTGATAGCTTATAAAATAAACTAATTATATATCGTCTATATAAAAAACTTGCCATGTAAGTTAAGATACATATCATACAAAGTCAATATATTTTTGGAGGTCCTACAGAATGTTGCTACATAGATTCTAGATAGATAGTATATATAGAGGCAAGAGTGAAGCCTTCTTCACTCATGTCAATTCCTTTCTTACTTCTAGTCTAGATTTAAGAGTCTTTAATTTCCTTGTCTTTTAGCAATAGTCATTCTAGTTTCGTTTTAATATACATACTTTATTTTCTATTTTTTTACTTTTCTTTTGACATGGATTTCATAGGTTTATGCATCTTCTTTCAATTCATATCTTTCACAACTAATGTCATTCTTATCTTCAACAACATATCCTTTATCTAAATTCCTTCTTGTCTTATATAATGGATGGATATATGTATGTATGTATATATATATATATATATATATGCATGCATTAAAATAACCATAAGATTCTATATTATGTTTTTTTTTGATAAAATCTTGTCTTAAAGAAGATATATATATATATATATATATATATAAGAACTTCAAGTGTAGAACAAAATATATTTGATAACTGATCCAACAATTAATAAATTCATGGAAAAATCTCTAGTTCTCAAAGTGATTTCAAATATATAATTTGTAAGTGTTCATAATTTGAATAGTTTTTATTTTTTAATAGTTTTAATTAACGAATGTAATACCAGCTATGCTAAACCGTTGCCATGTACAAACACACGAGGCAATAAATACAGTGGGAGAGAAGAAGAGTGGAGCAGCAGGAGGCGAAGAAGGGCGAAGAAGACAGAGAAGGAGCAGAAGAAGAAGTAGAAGCACCTTTTACTTTTTCAAAGGGGGGGGGCCGGAAGGCAGGGGACTTTGTCAAACCCTCCTACTACTTTTTCCGAACGCGTGGAGGGTGCCATGAGGCCAAGCACCCCATAAAGACGGAGGGAAAGAAAAACAAAGAAAAAAAGAAAGCAGAAAGAAAAAGGAAAAGGAAAAGGAAGGCATGAGAGACAGAGTAGAGTAGTGCACATGGGCCCCTGTTCCCGTAACTTTCTCTTCTTCTCTCTGGCTTGCGTTGCTGCTGTGCTGCTGTTGAGCTCTGTTCCTGTTCTGTTGTGGGTGCTGATCGCTCCCCCTCCTCCTTCCTTCCTTCCTTCTTTCGCATCATCATCGCTCAGTCCGCCCCTCACCCCCACCCCCATTCTACCATTCTCTTCTCTTCTGGTCTCTCTCTCCTCTCCTGTCTCTCTCCCCCTTTTCTGTGTTCAGCCTTCTTTGTCTACTGCTGCTGCTCCCTTCGGTGGTCGACCTTTGATATGTAGCTGTCTGTCTGTTAGTTAGTTAGTGTTGGGTTGGGTTGGGTGCCTGTTTTGGGTTTGGGTATTCCCTGAGATGTGCGTGAGTGATTGAGAGAGAAGGAGCAGCTTGGAAGAATTTTGTATGTTTCGAGGTCATTAGAAGCGAGTTGAGTTTATTTTGTTTCGATTTTGGTTTTGGTTTTGGTTTTTTTTGTTTTTGGGGTTCTGGGATTGTGAGGTAAGGAATTAGGTCAAGTGTGAGAGCGGTGGCAGACGAGGGGGGAGGATTAGTTGGGAAGAGTCTCTCTTTTTTTTCTTTTTTTTTTTTTTTTTTGCCCGTTTTGGTGTGGTTTGGTGGTAAGACTACGGTTTTTGCATCCGAACGTGGAACTGGAGGAGGTGGGAAGAAAGCGGAATGTCGTGGTCAGGACCTGACAACTTTCCTGCTACTTCTCTCGCAGACAATCTCGACAGTGAGTTCTTTTTGTGCCCTGTAACTGCTCGCACTTGTTAAGTATGCTTGGTGCTGCGTATTGTGCGGTAGTTGTAATGGAAGCAGAGCGATAGTGTAATGCCTCATGGTACCCCGAGATGGCATAACTGGGAAGTTGGATTATGTAGTGATTTTTATTTATATCCAAGGGTTTCGCACTTGGGTTCCGCCGTTACGCCTTTCTTTACCTTTGTTCCGCCAATGTAGCTCTGTTTCATCTAATTGCTGCTGCTACCGTCGCAAGCACACTATCAGTGAGTGCAATCATTTTTACCCTGCTCTGTTCGAATTAGGGTATCGGACATGATGTCTGGATGTTGAGCTCTTTCAGGCACCGTTATACGTTTATCCATCGAAGAATGGTCGTGCGCAATTGCTGCAGTACCTCCTAGTTTCTTGCAATAGCTGAAACGGAGGATTGTAGGGTTTCAAGGGGTCTACCAGATGATTGCTAGACTCTGTCTAATTGTTGAATCAACTCCTAGCTAATGCATATGACTAGTGATATTTGCTTCATCGGATGCTGTCTGAGTATATCTGTCACTAGTAGGCCATAATTTAAGGAAAAATTTGATCCACGTTTCAACGCCAACTGTCTATTTTTCGGAGGCTTGTAGTTGGTGATTGGGAAGAGCTTGGGTGGTCAGTACTTTTGGAACGGAGCCAATTTTTTTTTTTTTTATATCTGTGCTTAGTTCAGGATGTCCAAAATGTGATGTTCTTTGGAGGTAGTGGGTGCTGATTGGCATTACATTTGACAGCTAGCTACCGATCAGCCAGTCACTGTTTAGACGGGCATTTCTAGCTGTACACCCTCATCAAGTAGTTGTGGTGTTTTTTCTACATTTCTGTGGCATTTTATTTGTAGATATGTGAATTTCATATGCTGGTGCGAATCAAAATTTTGCAGAGAAGCTATTGGTGATATTGCGGGATGGAAGGAAACTAATTGGTGTGCTCCGATCTTTTGATCAATTTGGTATGGGTTCCCTGTCCCTGCATATGTAATGCAAGTTTGTTTATTATTGCACAGGTCTTTTTGTAGTGCTGAATCGCGTAGAGGTGTTTCTATTATGCCATGTAGTTATACTTTTCATCTATTCTTAATCATCTGAAGAAGTCTGTTTTGAGCACATTCATTAACGAAGCTTTTTCGTTGTTCCCATTTTGTTTAAGTTTTGAAACTTTGTGCATTCTTTAGGTTATTGGCTGTATGCAATTTTGTAATAAGCACTGAATGCACCTTCCTGAATATTGGCAAAACAGCAAATGTAGTGTTGGAGGGAGCACTTGAAAGGATAACGGTTGGAGAGCTGTATTGCGATCTTCCTTTAGGCCTGTATATTATCCGTGGAGAAAATGTTGTTCTCATTGGTGAACTGGTAAGATTATTCTGAAGCTGCATCGCAGCTATCCTTCATGACATCTTCACACCTACGACAGTCTCGTCTTGATTCATCACCTCAGCGTCTTAGGAGCAGTGGCAATAGATTATAAAAGGCGACGGTGCTTGGAATATTCACTTACCTGGTGCAAAGTGGAGCACAAATGGAATAGCGCATAGTGGTACCAAGATAGTTCAGAAACCAATATCAGATAAACATCTAAAATTTAGAAAATAACATAAATTTATTTTGTAGATTCAAGTAGGTATAGGTAGTTCATGTTCAGTTTTTAAAGGAGGTTTGAAGTTTCTTCACGTCTTACTTTCGATTCAAGACTGAAAATAAGTAATGCCAGCTTTTATTTCTTTTTGGGTAAAGAGGACTTATGAAACTAGTTCGTTGATACAGGATTTGGAGAGGGAGGAGTTGCCATCCTTTATGGTGCGGGTCACTCCCACCGAAATTAAACAAGTAAGCTCGTTGGTTTGTCTGTGTTTCCTTTCGCGTATACATACCAGGAGTTGCAACTTTTGTATATGTACTTGGTATGACGTTTTGAAATATGAAATGAAACTGGGGTATTTTGTGCGCTGCTCATAAATACTCTTTACTTCTTTCTTGGACCTATAAATATGTTATTTTCTATGTGCTCCTGGAGTTTTGTGCTGGCTACGAATAACGTCGTAATAGTCATAAAACCATGCCTTCGTTTTCGAAATACCATTCTGGATGTTCTCAAATTCTGTCGACGTAGCAGAACGTAATTTAGAAACCTTGTGGTGTTACAGGCACAGAAAGCTGAGAAAGATGCAACAGAGTTGAAGGGTACGATGAGGAAGCGCATGGAATTTCTGGATATTGATTGAACTGTGAACTGATTGAGGAGTCGGCAGGCCCTAGTTCTCCACCTGTACGAATGCGTACCAATTTATGCAACCTCACACAGCAAACGAAGGGGGAGCACGCTCCGCCAGTGTGGCGAGTTTAAAGTGTCACGGTGGCCCGCACATTTTATCGCGGATCTGCGTTCCTAGTGGTGGTATTCACCACAAAATTACCCTCTAGGGTGCCCCCAGTTTTTCTAATTTTCCTGTTCTTTTCTTGAAGTTATGGAGGGCTCAATGTAATCCATGCTCTTTGTCATACTTTTTCTGCGTACTTTCAGTGAAATGTCTTTCGTATCAGAGTTCCATACTTTTTCCGTATGTGTCCGTACTGGTTTCTTCCAATTCTGCTTACTTATACTGATTTATGTCCCAATCGTATTTAAAGCATTATGCTGTAACCTAATTCACACTTGCATAACTACAGACACTAAATGGTGTAGGTCCTTTAGGAAGCATCTGAGCCAGTTACGTGGTATACCTCGACATTCACACAACCGTGCCACGCATGTTTGGTAATTTGTGTAGTAACTACGGTCACAGACGACTTCCACTTTTTAATTCGTGAAAGAAAGATTGTGACTTTAAGTAATGAGCTTTTTGAATCAGGATGTGTATTATTTTTCTATAGCCTTTCTGTTGCTTCAAATATTTCACATACCAATCCGTTTTCACTTACACTACACTTACGTCCTTAGATTGTGGAGAATCTCCAAACTTACCCCTTTTGTAAATCTCTCAGAATTATCTTACATCGTAAATGTGAAAGTCATCACTGAAGACAAAAAGAAAGTTTTTAGGTATATATTCCATGGGCAAGCCTAGCACCTTATATTTGATCTATGCATTTAAATTAGAGTAATGAATCTGGTCTCATAGATTGTTTAATCAAGAAAGATAATGGTTTTTTTGTGAAAGTATGCCTAAGGATGGTTCAGTGTAAGTTTGGGGTTCGTTGAAGTCCCAAATGAATCCACCTTATTTGACTTATGCCGCAAAATATGGGTCGTGTCTTTTTTCGGCCTTCCTCAAAGATGAAGGTAGATGCTGATTTGTGCAAAACACAAAAATCAGTTTTGCACGAATGTGTTTGTGCCTTCATTTTTGCAAAGCGTAAGACTACATAATCTCCTTCCTTTACAAACCTGTTTAGGGGAACAAATTCACAACCACACAACGAATAAAATTTAAAAGTCTCGCCCTAGCATCTTTTATGTACAGGCAATTCGGTCGCTAATAAACAAATTCTACAAATGAGCTCTTGTTTGTATATTATGAATAAACACATTCAACAATTTGGGGGTCAAGTTACAAAAATAAAGCAATGGATGTTCAGAATTTTTACATACACAAGAGATTAAAAATGAACAGGTAACCTTGCAACAAGTCATGCTTTTAAATGCCCCAAAGCATGCAAATCATAAACCATTCCAACAAGGTCAACCAATGATTATGAATCCATCTGCTTGGGCATATTATAACGAAGGCCTCGCAAGAATGTCTACCCTATGTCCTGTTCGAAAAATTTCTCATTGGAATAGACTAAAGAATAATACTACTACTGCAGAAAGAATATCATTATTTCTATGAATGTTGTGTTGTCTAGTGTAGCACAAAGCTACAGTTCTGTAAGAGGAAAACCATCTCTATACACTGTTTGAAAGGGTCAAAATTTTGTATCGAGGGACGATGTGCATGAACACCCCTTGAAGCAGAGAAGACCATCCAGTGACGACATGTCATGTAAGCGAACTAATTGTGACGGTCAAAAACCTTTTCAATGGCTACAGAGAAGGCTGCAAAGCCTGCACATCCAATACAGGCTGCCTGTGGTCCAGCTGCAATACACAAAACAAGGTGGCTTTGGTGTAAGATTTCCAAGTCAGATGACAGAAAGGAAAATCACTATTAACACAAAACTATTAGGCTCCAAATCTCAAACAAGAATGCTCAAACGATCAGAAACCGAAATGGCTCGCTTTGGATACATTGCGGCTAGTGGTCATCATGGAGTGATATTGTTGAATAAGATCCTACGAAAGAAGTAATGGAAAGAGGAGATAAAAAAAAACACGAACCCCTTGCTGACATGCTCCCTCCAGTCGCACACCCAGCTAATACTGTATTTGTAGCATCGTGTTTTGCTCTTGCCTATACAACAGGTGTAACAATCAAAAATCAAAAAAGCAAGATTACTAAGAACAGAGAGAAAGCCATTTATATATAAAAGCCAGTACAAGTCCAATGATCACTTGGTCAGTTATGCCAGGCGTGGGAACCTTGAATGGCAACATGGTCCAACATGTATTCAAGCTGTTTAATTGCAATTTAAAAAAACAACATATAAACCAAGAGTTCACGAAGATAAGTCAAAATTGTAAACCAGGAATTGTGAGAAGGCAAATTAATGCTTGAAAAACATAATACTCAGTTGTGACATTCTACCTTCTCAAACACGCATTCAGTTCCCGCGAAAATAGCACCCATGACAGTAAAAGTTTTAGCCATTTGCACACTTTTTGAGCTCATCGTTCGAGCTGCATGTACGAAGTGTTGTCGAGCTGTCATGGTATCAGTGTGAAGGGGTTGTTCGAGTGCTCCAAACAACATCCCCATGAAGATTCCCATTCCACCGCCTGCAATATAATCCAAAATGAAAACCATGAAGGCATGTAAAACCTGATCACCAGCCACTACGCAAATGAAACAACCTACATAGGTTCAATTCGGTACTCTACTTAAATTGACCGCGATGGTACTAAAATTCCAAACCAGTAATTACTGCGGCCTCTTCTATGTAATTCAGCTACATTCTGACGACCATACGCCCCAGAGATTGCCACAATTCAGCAACCAGAACGTAATGAGAATATCGCGAGAAGACAAAGAGCGGAAATACTACAGGAAGCATCTCAAGCGGAGACAACGACAAAGACACAAATTGTTCAAAGCCTCACACGACTACACAATCTCCAATACCAGCGCGACGATCAGGAAATCGCAAATTATCCAAAGAAATGGACTTCCGAGGAAAATTCCACTAGCAGAAATTCAGATAGCTGGAGACAGAGGTTCAGTACATTAAACAGAGCCGCATGAATCACAGAACTGTACAAATAAAAAATAATAATAATAAAAAAAAACAAACAAACAAACAAACAAACACACACACACACACACACACACTCACCCATGACACCACTGACGGCGGTTCGCACGGCACAATTATTGAAAATGTCTTGGGCTCGGATCTCATCGGGCGAGGGGAGACGCAAAGGGGATTCCCCGCTGCTCGACGGACCTGCATCCGCGTTCCCCGCCATTAGCAACACCGCGGGGACAATTCGCTTCGGGTGTAGAAGGCCACGAGTACAGCAACACCTGCAACAGGGTTCTCTTCAACAATCTCTGCACTGTCCGTCTGCAACGATTCCGAGACCCGGGAATTGCACCTATCGAAGACCATAAAGGGGATTAGGGTTAGGGCTCTTCCTCTGTTCAATTTATACGTATGAAATACGCATACGATATGCGTGCTGATTACTCCAAGTATTCCCGTGTTATCGACGGTCTCTGTACAGACCTCGGCAAAACTACACTACGAAGTTACTCTCAGTAATCACCGTATTTTTTTGCTTAATATAAAAGTATTGGAAAAATTACCCACTTTTGGTCCACAACTCTGTACATCGTTCGTTCTTGACGATGTATCACACTTCAACATTGATTGCTTCAAGGTGTTATTTTTCAAGTTTAAAAATTATATAATGATAATATTAATCATAGTAGTAATGTTCATGTTTACCGTCATTATTATAGTTCCTTCACAAGTATAAGTGAAACTTGTATTATACTGTTATTTCTTGTGTTATGATATATAGATTCACGTTATGCATTACCCAACTTCTAAAAATTTGGATCCAACAGTCAGAATCATAAATGTTTGGTTAAGGTTTAACTCATGCATGTTACAAATTTTACACAAGTGATTCTATGATGAGACGAATTTTCCACATGTGATTCTCACATACTCAAGTACCAAGTGCAAAATTTTGTATATTCATGTTTATTGTTTGTTATGTAGACCCATACCAATGATGACATTAGCCAAGATTTTGTGAAAAATTCAAACTTATTTAAATAGGAATATATTAACGCTTACTTGTTCACATGTTTTCCACCAGAATTTACTAGGAATTTGTAAAATAAAATAAAATAAATGTCCTGAGTAGTTTTGCACATTATATATATATATATCGGAATCCCACACCGTATATATATTTTCATTAGGTTTAGAAATTTGAATTCTGCCTGCCTAGTTTTAATGATTATGAAATTGAGTAGCTTGAGCACAAACACGCTTTAAGTAATACAAATGTGTGCAATATGGCAAAATATGGCAAATCAAAGCCTTATGAAGATATTGTACTTACATTTATTTTTTTTACTTATTTTTTGATTCATGGATCTTGTAATTTATACTCCTCAAAGTATGTTGACCCCTTGGATTGTTTGGTTGTTTGTTTGTTTTTGTTTTTTTCCAGCAAATATGGCTGTGCTCTCTTTGTGAATCAATAATTTTTTTCATCAAAACTCTTTGTGAAGAAGAGAAAATGAAAATATTGCAGTTTTTACATGCACACTATCTTTTTTACAAAACGTTATGCAATTAATCAGTTTATCACCTCAATAAACCAAGAACTGACTTAACAATCACAACTATTCTTAATAAAAATTCAATGTAGTAATATATGTTATCATAGTTACACCTAATTTAGAAAAATTAAAAAATTAAAAATTAAAATTAGATGATTAAATCAACATTATACAGACAGTAAGCAATGATTTCAAATAAATAATAAAAAAGCACAAGAAAGTATATATATATATTAAAAAGTACATGAATATTAATCAACCCTTTGTTCATTATTGTTTCATTCCTTAATTTTTCTTAAAAAGAATCTCTTGATTCAGAGACATGCAAGCCCTAGACAAAGTGACTGCAAAGCTATGACCAAGGGGAGGGCTTGCCCACGTCCTTTGTTGATTTCCTTGTAGTTTGTCTCCCAAGCAAAACCGATATGAGCATTTTACACAGACACATTTATTGAATAATGGTTCTCATCAGCAACAGTAAAACCAAAGCTTGACTATAAACAGTTAGGGTCAATCCCATCTCCTATGCCAGAGATGCATAGATTCTTCAACTTTGAAGAGTAATACTATCATATTTCCCTCCTCTTGTTGGAGCTGCACAGTTTCCTGTCACCAGCACTCACACATGCATGCTTGGTGTGTGTATTACGGTGAACCTTTACTTGGGTCTTCGAAGAAAGTTGTCCTGTTCCTGCAGCTTTGATGCGTGAGTTGGTGCCCAACTTCCCGGGCCGCACGAATATCGCAAGCTCTTAGGTGCTATCTTCAACCATGTTAACCATAGAAGTGCATATTCCACTTGACCTTTGTTGACACAACCACCCAGTCTGTCGCCGGCTGTTTGCTGTTGGCGGCGACTAAATGCTTGCAGCCTCTTCTTTGTTGCACAGTTTTGGCGCGGAGCTGTGGACCTTGAAGTTTGCTGATGAAATACATATTCTCGGAGACCGCGTCCTCGCAGAAGTCTACTTTTGCTTTAGTATGATTAGCAAGAGGAAATATCTAGAAACAGTCTGGGGTTTGGGATTCATATCTGTATTTCGTGTAGGAGTTGGCAGAGTTTGTGCCGAGTGTAAAGATGTAAAGCATGGTTTCTGATGACCATGTTGTACGAGCGTTCAGTTTATGAGTAGCCTACAGAACTGAGGGATTTTTATGCAACAGTCGGTTTCCCGAGGACACGTTCTGCACACCAGCTCCCAATATCTAAAATCTGCAGGAATTACACTCGTTACAACATTTTTCAAAACAACCATCGTCCACGCAGTTAACCTTGAGGACATGAACCTGGTGTTCTTGAAGTCCGTGAAATTCCTGTAGTTGGAAAAGTCTTCCTTCCGGCAGGCAGATCAGTTCAAGAGTCAGTGAATGTCACTGTACACTTATCCAGCTCAAAGTGAAGGTTTAAACCTACGATAGTTGTTTTAATAACTAGTGTGGCACAGGTGGGTGACTCAGGATGAGACGCTATTCCGACCACAGGGCGAGGAGTGATGGCGTCTCAGGACATTGTACTGCTTGCATTGAGGATTAGATATCACTGCGGGAATGTATCAATAACCAAGGTTGAAGAACTTACAATTCGAGCTCAATGTATCCTACAAGGGCTTAGTGTACTCCTGAACGTGGGTGAGCGTTAGTTGCTCATGGAAGCTTCGAAATAATACCTCATTTTATTGTCGAGCTGGATCTGCATGAGTCTGGTGTTTTGTGCTAGTCTGCTTTTCTAAGGAAAAGATATCATGTGCTCCTGATGGTCTCCTCCAGCATGTTCCGGGCTTTTCTGCAAATCCATACAAAGTTCTGGTGGGGTAAAGAGAATGTTTTCAATCTCTTGTAAAGGTTCAGGAACAACATCCCAATTTCGCGGTCCTTGAAATGCAGATGGCATGGATGTCCCCACTCCTCGAACGACGTGGACATCGAATTCGGACAGTTTCCGAAGATTGAAAACAACCGCATCGCCTATTCGTAGACCACAAAAAGTGGCAAAATCCTTCCATCCAGCGGTAAAAGCCACCCGTGGTGAGAAATTTTCACATTCTGGTCTTCTCCACATTTTGACGACGACATTCCATGGCTGCCACGGTTTTGCAGATGATCCGGACCGAAGTACGACAGACCTTTGAAACTTGTCTCCATGCTGTAGAACAAACCACTTGGGCATAAGCTGGAACAAACAAGGGCACAGATATAAGCGTCGAAGTTAAGTGCACCCCTGACAGATCTAGCACACAATATTCTGCATGCTGTATCAGAGTGACAGTCAACGAAATCAGCTTTTCACATGATGGTGCAAGACTCCTCCGCATATCAGAATCCACATGTAATCCACTGTAAACTCAACAAAATTATCGCCGCAAACGCACATGTCTGAGCGGTTATCAGCTGGTCGACCGTCACAAAGAAATATCTAGAACCGATTTGACAAAGACAAATCGAGGATCAATTTCTGCGATCGATTGCATACCAAGGAACAAAATTTTTTATTGTTCCGATCCACATTTGAAGGTGTTATTGTCTTCTTAAAATAAGCGACTTCCGGCGATTTACTGGTATGTTGTCCGAATCTGCCAGTCTTAGGGAAGTGAATCGCGTTCTCTTTGTGGTGAACTGTGGGTTGCACTTGGCATTCCAATGTGCCAACAAGGGTTCTCATAGCAGTCGATTGCTCATTTCCCTGCGCCAAGTGCGATTTGAATATTTAAAATTCAAGATTGAAGAATGGTGAAGTGGGTGAACTTTGTGGAAGAAATATATGCTCACCTTCGTAGTCATGTTGCAGTTGGAGTTTTTGAGTGACGTACCACCCGGGGAGGCAGAAACTGCACCCTCACCTCCGATAGTCCCCCTCTTTTCAATTGATCCACAGGAGTCATGTGGCACTAACTCCACAAAACTTTCGGTAGGCATGTATCGACTTGTGCTCCCATGGGATTTACTTACTTTCTCCCGAAAAAGATCGGAATCATCCCCCTGATTTTCCCCTGTTAAAAGAGAGGATACATCCGGGTTTTCAGTCCTCCGAAAGACGTGGACTTCAAATTCTGAAAATTCCGTGAGAAGGAAAATCAGCGAATCGCCCACCCTGAGGTCACATGCGGCAGAAAAACCCTTCCAGCCATAAGAAAAATTCACATCCGGATATGTAGAATATCTGACGTGGACGCTGAGCCGTACATCCCACGGCATCCATGGTTTCGGGGACGATCCAGATCGAAGAACAACATCTCTTTGAAACTTATCCCCATGCTCCAGCACAAACCAGACGGGCAATCCCTGGAGCAGACCCGGTTCAGGAAGTTCAGAAACACGTTCCAACCCGTAAATACTATCATCGTGTCGACAAACAGAATAAACCCTTCAAGTCACTCGGCAGATTCTTCAGCCCAAGTAAGCTGTCACAATTTCAAGCAATCACAACTCATAAACACCCTTCACAAGGAATAATCAACAGGTGGGACAACTAGCACAACACATCAGGAAGAAGCCAATCGACGAGGCTCAAGCTACCAAGCCATCAGCATACCAACAAACAAGATTTTTTCCCAGGCCGGTCTGTATTCGACTTGGTCAAGATCTTCTCAAAATGAATGCTGCCTTGCAGCGACTGCAGCAACTGTTCTCTCTTCACGTTGCCTCGGTGAACTTTCCAGGCCTCCTCCTCGTCCTCCTTGGCGTCGACATCCACATCCCCCACCGTCGATGCACCATGCATTCTTGCCATGACTGGACTGATTTAGTGAGACTCAGGACTCTCAGCTTCTGCAACAAGCTGCCGAAGATAAAGTAGCAACAGCAGCAGCAACATCAAACACTGGTTGCAAAACCAACACAAGCAACAGCAACACTATGGCTTCATGTTTGCCCAATTCTGCAGTTTGTCTACCAAGTGTGCTGATGAGGACTCAAATGAGGTCTTTAGTGGGGTACCCCACAATCCGCGTGCAATCCCATCAAACAGATTTGCAAAATGGGAGCAAATTAAGATTCAATCATCGCTCTTGTTGTGTGTTAGAAAGTGAGTGTGTGAGTGTGAGTGTGAGTGAGTGAGTGCAGCTTCTCAATTGCTTCTGCACAGATTTGCCATGACATGATATGTCCACTTGGCATGTCGCATCAAGTTAGGGTTTTGATGTTCACCCATGCCACAATGGAAGTCTGTGTCACGGCAGCAATTGTATGTGTGAGGAATATATATATATATATATATATATATTGAGATTAATAAATAAAGATGTTCATGGGTTTCTTATATGTGTAATGAATGTATGAACAAACTTTTACATAGGCTAGGATATAAGATATTTTAGCATTAAAATTTTATTTATTATATATATGTATAATTATGTAAATATTCATTTATGTATACATACGTACATACATACAAAACTGGTATTCCATTGCACATCTTCCAGTGTTTGTTTTTTACATTATAAAATGTTTGCTTTTCAATGATGATTAATATTTTGTTCTTCAAGGACGAGTTTATGTGGGTCAATCCTAGGAATTGAGTATACTTCCATAAGCAATAAGTTTGCACATTGGAGTGAATTCACTTCATAAACCATTTCAAGAGACAACATTTTATTTTATTTATTTATTTTTATTTCATTTTAAGTTTACCAATTTGAATTTCATGTTGCAATTGAATCTTGTTAGGCTCTACATAATCTATCTAATCTTGCTAGTTTGAGCTCACAGAATCTTTACATAAATATTTAGTATTAGAATTATGTATTTTACTTGCTCATTCATGTAACAATAAAATTGAATTCTGGATGTTTTCTTTGTTCTCACATTTTAAAAAAAACTTTTGTTCTCAAGGAACTTAAAGAATTTATTCAACATAACAACTTTGTTGATTCATGATGCTTCCACCATTTACAAGTAAATATTACAATTTTATATACCAAAATTATTTCTTACACAAAGACATACATAAACAAAGTTCTTACGAAAATATATTATTAGTAAGTCTTTTAATAGAATATCAATTTCATCAATTCAAAATAAATACTATACTTAATAATGTTAATAAAAAATATTGGTTATGAGATTAATTTTATAACATGCCTGCAAATCCTAATCAATTTTTACTTTAAGTAATACCATTGGTGCTTCTAAATAATGGATCTCAAAACATAAATTAATAGAACAGTTTTATGATCCAAATTATTGTACTTCAAAATGTACTTTTGTTTTATGTTATAATAAATAAATCAATCAACCATAAATATAAAATCTATCATCAAATGTCAATTTAACCAAAGATCTTGTGAAATGATATATTGTATTAATACAATCATTAAATATTCTACCAAATTTTTCACAAGGGAAAAAAGAAAAGAAAAAAGTATTACTTCAACAAGTTAGTTGTATTTACAAATCTTGAAGAAAAAGAAGCTTTATTTAGGCCATCTAGGAGGACAAGGAAGGGTCTCCAAACCTAGTCTGATTTTATTGCACTAGCTGATTGTGCTATGCTACATGCAAAGAGCATTGTTGTGTTATTATTTATGACCTCATCTTACAAATTTTTGGATCTTACTATGATTGTGCATTGTTTCTTGTCCTACTCAACCTTTAATTTATATATATATATATATATATATATATTACAATGAAAAAATATTAAATTCTAGAATTTGAAATGTTTTAAGTTTTAGAGTTTCTTGTAAAAGTTAGTGTACCAAGGTAAAAATTGATTTGAAGAGAATTGAAATTATTACTTTTGAGATGTGTGTTGAGTTAGTTTTTTCTACTAGTCTTGTTTAGCTAATTTTTCTACAGGTTTGAATATAAGGAGACATTCTGTCAAAGAGGGAAATCAATACAAATAGAAACATTTACCAATCAATTTACTCAAATAAAGTGTTGTAGCAACTTGGTACTTTTAACTAACATCAATTGGTAATAAATATGACTTAAGAACTTTGTTCTTTTGTAACTAACATTCTTTGTCCAGTTTTTAATCTACACTGGACTTTAACCAATTGGAGCAACGTATTGACAACTAATCATATAGACATTGCACTAAACTTCCACAACTCTACATAGTCTCCTCAAAGAAACCTTAGATTCAATTAGAATATTATTAACATTATATTCTTATATAGAATTGCTACTATTGTTCTTCCAATTGTTAATAATAGTCCACTTAATTCGTACCCAATAGAAACTATATTCTCAATAGCAAGTCTTTCTGAAACCTCATTAGTTTACAGATCCTTGTGAACATAGTAACTTCCTAAGCTAGCAAATATTCTGTGTGGAGCTTTCAGAAACAGTGCTTGAAGAAACTGCAGACCGAATATCACTATTCCTTCAGCATCTGTTGGTATCGGTGATATTTCCCAACATCTTGTCCAACTGTGCGAGCAGTGATCAGTTTGTTATTTGGGAGAAGAAGGGCAGTGAATGAATTTTTTCTGGCTTCTTTTAATCGTTTCTTGAAACATGTCGACATCAGAAGTGTATTTTCTATGTACATTGGCAACGTCCATGTACATAGAAAATACCGTTTTTTCTGTGACATCTCCTGCACAGCATGCAGCTGATTCTAAAGCAGTAACAAGGATTAGGCTGTCACATTCAGGATGAGATAAAAACTCACGTGGCTGTTTTCATCAACAGATTCCAACCACCAGCAAAAATAGCAAGAAGCCAAGGTTATAATCATATAATTGTTGGGATAATTTTTGGTCTGCATCATATTTCGGATTTGCGTCCTTAAGCAATAAGATTCTCACGTTGGAGAGGTTCAAGTCGAAAATATTAACCTCTTATAGTGAACTCTAAACAGTTTGATTTTACCAGGGGAGATTTTTACTTCTGATAAGGCGTCATTCTATTATGCAGTGGCGATCTTCCTGAAATGCAGTGGAATGATGTCTCAGGGCTGGTTCCGAAATCAACCGCAACTGATTCACTTTTCCCTCTTGAGCGACAGTCATGGTCCGAACTAAATTGCATTCAGTTCTGCTAAATCACTAACATGTCTGGCTTCATGCGGGTGTTGTTTACAAGGCTGTGAGCAAGCTGAGTGTCGCTGATCCATGACTTCTGCTTTGCACCTCAGTGGTCATGTATCTGATTTAGAGCCACGCCGAGTCATCGCTTCGTGGTTTCACAACAAGCAAACCTTCAGAGGTAGAATGAATTTCTGATCGGTGTATTTTCTGACATTGAATTCTCCTTGATGATATTTTCGAAACTGGTCTGTTCATGTGAAGAGCTGACATGAGGAGGTTCCATCACGTCAAGTATCTTTGTGTTCACTTTGATTAAGGTGTGAACCTCACGAGGCATTTGAGTGGTCCGGATTCTGTGGATTAGACACACTAATCCATTTGTAGAATCTGTAATTGCCATGAAGTGGCTTTCCGGACCTGTGAACAGGGCTTTTCGATTAGTTCAAGCTGCGACACAAACATGGCTCACTTGTGTTGAGATATCCTGCAGGTGTCCGATTTGTCAACGTGTTCCTTGGCATGCCACCGAAATTGTCGAAGAAGGAAAAACCGGCCAGAGACAGGGAAGTACACATGAATTGCGTTAAAAACAGCAACTTGCCGCATGAAGTATAGCCCAACGAAACTGGTTCTCAATAGTTGAGCAACTTCATATAATCCAGTTTTATGGAAATGGGTTCTAATGTTGTTAATCACCGTCGACTAGCTCCAAGCAGCTTACACCCACCGTCAGCCAGGTCTCTTCTAGCCACGACAAGACGTGCAGACTCTGGCTTGCCATGCCTTCAACATGTTTGACCTGGACACAAGACAAACCAGAAAAACGCTTGTGGAAAAAACCTGCTGATTATTGTCAGCAACTGTGAAGTGAACTCTGAGCCCTGAGGACAGAGATTGTGACATCCCGGAAACAACCCACTGGGAGGTTAGCAGTACAAGTGATCAGCAGGCCAAAGTAAAACACAGTAGCAAGAAAGAATGAAAGAAAGGGAGGAAGATGATGAAGCAGAAGAAAGCGAGATAGAGAGAGAGAGATCTTTGCATGTGGTCCTTGTGAGATCTAGAGATATTAGCTCTTGACAGCCTTGTCCTGTACCCTCATAATCTGGCCTCACATTGGGCGATTCTCACAAAGCTCTGCACAAGTTTTGTCTTTCTGTTTGTGTGCCTCAAACTTTTGTCTAAGATATGCACTGATATTGATGTACAGATATATATATATATATATATATGTATCTATACACACACACATATATTGTAAACAAAAGGAGGAGTTATTGTAACAAACAAGGTATGAAGAAATAAACAAGGGATATAGGCATACCCTTTTTTTTATTATTAAATTTTAGGTTTACATTGCATTAACAACCATTGTCTTCAACACAAGAACATTACAAAACAACAAAAAATAACTTAATTAGAGCTACAAATGTTAGGTTTTTACTCAACGGCACAAGTTTCCACTCATTTGTATATATATATATATATATATATATATTAAGGAAGTGTGATTACCACAGAGACAACCTTTTGGCACCTGGAAGGGAGAATGACTCTGTTTGTACTGGTGGCAGGTGGGTACCTCCCTTGTTTTTATTTATTTAATTATATTTATATTTGTGTCCAATGAGTTTGTGGGAGTTTGAGAAACTTAGACCCCAGATCTTTGTGGATTAGGTTAAGGCATCAGTGCAGTTAATATTGATGATTCTACTGATTGCAAGGATATTGTTAGATACAGCACAGGCCATGTGAAAAGCATTAAGTTAATTGTGTAGCAATGGAGAAAGATGGAACCAAAGTTTGTGAGTCAACTTTTTATTTTAACATTTATTAGTTTAACCTAATTAAAATTATCCTAAACAGAAACTAAATAAATAAATAAATGGGTTGTCATTACCTACCTGATTCAACTGAGATGGAAGTTCATGGAAGAGCCCATGAGTAACAGCCCTTCACATGATGATGAAAGATTTGGTGTGAAGAATGTTTTTTAAAAGGCTGCTACTAAGTTACCAATAACTTAATACAAACAATTTACCTTAATGATTTGTTAAAATAACAATCGAAATAAAATAAAA